GAGCTGTGAAGCCACGGCACTCTACCCAGGGGGATAGCTTGAGGCTCTGTTTCAAAAAAAAAAAAAAAAAAAAGATTCTGGGTTATGGACTAAGCACCTCTGATTGAAGATACCCTGCTATAAGCAGTGCCAGCCTTCAAGGAACCCTTCTTCTAAGGAAAAAGATGGAGACCAGCCCTGGGAGCACCAGTTTTAAGAATCTCTTTTTTTGGCTGAGCACAGTGGCTCACACCTATAATCCTGTATTTTGGGAGATTAAAGTGGGAGGATCACTCAAGCTCTGGAGTTCAAGACAAGCCTGAGCAAGAGCGAGACTCCATCTTTACTAAAATACAAAAATTAGCCAGGCGTGGTGACAAGCACCTGTAGTCCCAGCTACTTGGGAGGCTGGAGTATCACTTGAACCCAGGAGTCCAAGGTTGCTGTGAGTTAGGCTGATGCCACAGCATTCTAGCCTGGGCAACAGAGTAAGACTCTCTCAAGGAGGAGGGGGTGAGGTGGGGAGAAAGAAAAAGAGTGTTTTGAAATGTTTTATACATTCAAAGTTTTATAGTTTTATACGTATTCATTTTAAGGACTAGATTCTCAATTTCCTTTCTTTGCTATATACCTAATAGTTCCTCCCAGGAATCTCTGCAAGAGAGGGAGTTCCCTCCTCTTCTCTTAGGACCCACACCCTCAGAACAGACAGAACACTCTTGCTCTAGCTCAGAGCCCTCATACTCTCCCTTACCTCCTCTGAAAGTGTTCAAATTCAGCCTGTCTTCTGGCTTTCACGGCAGGGAGGTCCCTCTGGCCATAGGCATCCTCAAAGTTATAACCTCCCTGCCCGTTGGTGACTTCACATTTGCACTGGTTTTTCGGAAACAACCTAAAACAAGTAAGAGGACTGTAACCATGCACCGAGTGGCTGGGCTGGTACGAGGGAACCTGAGGCCTAACCCAGAGGTCTACTCTGAAAATCTCCTTTCCCACACCCGGCTGTGCTCATTGGGTTGAGACTCTAGAATCCCCAGCAGAGACCCTGACAGAGGTGCAAGGAGGGAGGGAGAAGGAAACCATGAAGGCTGAAAATGGTCCCTCTCTTGAATTCTCCCTTGCACATAACTATTTTTTTTTTTTTGGCCTGGATTTGAACTTGCCACCTCCCTTATATGGCCCTGCTCCTTGAGCCACAGGCACCCGTCCGCACATAACTTCATTAAATCTGAGGGCCATTCCAAGATCACTGGCATCTCAGCCCCAAGAGAAGAGGAAGGCAGGAGGATAGAAAGGCAGCATCTTCATGTAATTTTGGTCAAACAGGCCCTCCAACATTTTCAGGGATTTTGCTGGGTGCTGTAGAGAACAGACTGTGTCCCATAGACCATAACCTTTCCTGGTCCCCACAATTTGGAATCCCTTGTGCGACCAGGCTCAAGAAGGTAGAGAAACCATCTGTAAAATGGGCACAATGGGGCATAGTACACCATAGCAGGAGCGAAGAGGAGGAGGTCCCAACTAAAGTGAGAGAGAGGGCTCAGAGCCTGTGGCTCAAGTGGCTAAGGCGCCAGCCACATACACTTAAGGTGGCAGGTTCGAATTCAGCCCGGGCCCACCAAACAACAATGATGGCTGCAACCAAAAAATAGCCAGGTGTTGTGGCGGGCGCCTGTGGTCCCAGCTACTTGGGAGGCTGAGGCAGGAGACTCGCTTGAGCCCAGGAGTTGGAGGTTGCTGTGAGCTGAGATGCCACAGCACTCTACCCAGGGTGACAGCTTGAGGCTCTGTCTCAAAAAATAAAAAAAAATAAAGTGGGAGAGAGGACACTCAGTATCTCACCAGATTCCATCGTAGGTAAAGAGGTCCCTAAGACGTTTTTCAGGTAGAAGCTTCAGCCCCTGGACGCCCAAAGGATGTGGGGGCTCTGGCTTAAGGGTACTGAACACTGCTTGAAAGGACTCGCTTCTGAACATATAAAAAACAATGCCAAGTGCCAAGACTAAGACTGTCATCTTGAGGAGCCACCGAAATCTAGAGCTGTTGGGACACAAAAGAGCAAATTATGTTAAAATCTCTTTTCTTTATTAGATAACAGATGGCTTAACTCTATAATGTAAAATTATATAGTAGGAATATTAACCTGAGGGAAAGCGACAGCTAAACCTATATCTTAGAATGGTCACTAAAATTGATTTCTGAGAGAGGCATCAAGAATCAAGTTGCAACAAAGGGACTCAGAAAATCACAAATGAAAAGACAGGCAAAAACATCAGAAGAGTAGGTTTCGATATTAATGTCAGCATAGTTGAATTCAAGGAAAAAAAGGTATTAAGTAGGCCACAAGGGACTGCTTATAATGATCAAATATATGATCCAAAACCAGATATAGTGGTCATGAACTTGATCCACTAAGTAACAGCATTAAAATATACAAAGCAGGGCAGCGCCTGTAGCTCAGTGGGTAGGCCGCCGGACACATACACCAAGGCTGGCGGGTTCAAACTCGGCACTGGCCTGCTAAACAACAATGGCTGGTGGGCGCCTGTAGTCCCAGCTACTCAGGAGGCTGAGGCAAGAGAATTGTCTAAGCCCAGGAGTTGGAGAATGCTGTGAGCTGTGATGCCACAGCATTCTACCAAGGACAATAAAGTGAGACTC